CCTTCTTAACCAGGAAGGTTAAGTTAACCTCAGGCTTCGTATCTATTCGATGTATTTACTTGAAGAATAATTTCAAATTTGTTGCCATGCTGTCGAAAAGCAAAATCGTTTTCCTTATAACTATTTTCCGTTTATAAGTAGGGTTTTCAGACTGCCAGCAAATCAGTTATATGAGATGTATTCGCCCAATTTCGTTTATGCTGACAAAGGACTAGTAGTCGAAATTTCACACAATTATATGAGCAGACATGACGTTTTCATTAAATTTCACATAGCCTTACTTCTCCAAAGTTATGCTTATCCAGGGTGGACCGCAGCTTAGACCTCGCCTAGGTTTTATCAACTTCCCCAGCAGGACCTAAACTATGACAGGCCAGCATGTAATATCGATACCTTAATCACTACTTCACATTTCCACAAATGCCCTTGAGTCTTGCTATGTGGAGGGCCCCATAGAAATGATTTATTCACAGTCTCGAAACCATACTTACAAACGGATAATAAGTAACGCAATTGCTTTTTATAGCAAATATAACTGTTCTTCATCGGCATTCCCATCAAAGAATGTGATATGGGAAAATGTCTGGCTTTCTGATCCGCAGTTTCGACATGCTGTCACTACGCTACTGAATTGAGTTTTAGCGGGCTACAGGCCAGAAATGAAGTTCAAGGCAAGCCAGGCCTCTCGCATGCCACATTTATAATTGAATTGTCGACTAAGCCAATTTGTATCAAGCCATTACAATTGACTATGTTACTTATACTTACATCAAGTATGTTTCTATGCTTATACGGCATGGGAAGTCTATGGGAATTCCTATAGTCGATTAATAGAGTGGATGAAACTCGTTGGCATAAATCGACTGGCAATTATTCTCCGGTTTCCGGAGGGCCTATTGACGAATGCCCTCCAACCACATTTCCGACCAAATGAAAGTTGTACTTGCCCAAAATAGCCAAATAATTATATCCCATCGAAGAACAACTCCTATTTGCTTGCATCTCTCATACGTCGGTGAGACTTATACCGGCCCCCAAATGGACGTCATTTCGCACAATTTGACGCCTATTTGGCGGACGGTAAGAGAAATCTGCTCTTGATTGATTTTTCCTCTCACCCTCACTCTCCTCCTCCCTCACTTTCTGGTCATCGTCATCATCATCATCATCATCATCATCATCATATCCACCATCGCCACCATCGCCACCATCAAAGTCCTAATTGGCCTCGTCAGCAGCATCAACAACAGCAATAATAGGAATTTTCTTGATAATCAAGCTCACCACCATCTCCACTGACACATTCTTCAGCATAGCCTGCCCATTAACCTGCTTCAATGGGCTGGAGCTCGCCGTTGAAAGAAATAGGATGGGATGGGAGAGGATGAAACGGCAATGGGCAGGATGTTAGACAGCAACCTGCCTATTCCAGTCTAAGCATTGTCTCAAGCCGAAGCGGTGTAAACCGAGGCAGCCGGGTCCGGCAGAAAGCCATGGCGACCGGGCAAATGCGGCAACCTCCGGCCTGGCGGCAAAACGTGTGTCGAGTGTAAAGCAGCGAAGTTGTGGGGCGCAGAGCAGCGAATCAGCCAATCAGCGGTGGCGTCGTGTTGACGCCTACTCAGCAGACATGCCACGAGGTAGCACGCCTTTTGGCCCCAGCCGCGAAGGTCTACGAGCCGGACTGCAATTTGCGCTTCGCGGAGAGCGGAGGTAGGAGTGAACGTCTGACCTGCCGCCTTCGGCCTGCGACACTCGTGGCGTCTTTCTGGCCGTCTGTCTTCCGACTGCCCGCCCCAAGGCTCGTCTCAAACAGGCAATCCGGCTGGCCAACTCGGTCGACTGTGTGTCGGCCCGAAATGCGGAAGCTCGAGCCCCGGGCTGGCCGATAGGCAAACTTTGCTTCAAGCCAATCCTGGAGGCCTGGCCAGCCATCGATCGGCCCAATCGCTCTGCTCACGACAGCCTGAGGGTCGCTCTGCCTGCATAAGGCGCCCGGCTCCTCCGATTGGCTGGTCTGATTGGTCTCTGGTCTGGCCCTGCTTAGGTGAGCCGATGATTGGAGGAAATCCACTTGCCCTGCTCACTCGTCCCATGCAGGCCATTAGTTCAGCCTGTCTGTCTGTCTGTCTGTCTGTCTATGTGCCTGCCAGCCTCGCGCCTCCTCTTGGCTGTGCCACCTGCGTCCTGAAAACTTGTGGTGAAGTAGACCTGCCATCACACCACCACGGTCCAGCCTCACTTGAGCCGCAGGCCCACCGGCAGGTTGATTCGCCGCTTGTCTGTCAATCCCTTGGTTCTAAGCCCAAGGTCGTTTTGCTCTTGTCTTATATTCGACGACACTTGGTTCTCAAAAATAGGGAATTAAAAGGGAGGAAGAATCGATTTTGCGTTGGATCTTTGACTGGATCTTTGACTGGATCTTTGACTGGATCTTTGACTGGATCTTTGACTGGATCTTCTGAAAAGGTAGGCAAACGCACTGTCATCTTCTCAACTTCCACTTTTCTGTGTTTCTCTTTTCAAAATCCACGTAGAGCAATGCTTTCTCTAATCGATTGTTATTGTCAGCAACGCCAAAATCTATAGCTCAGAGTCCTAGATACCTTGCCCTATCGACTTTGCGAATGTCTACTTACAGCAAAATTTTGCCCGTATTCAGCAGAGATGTGATGTACATATTGCGAAACTATCAGTAATACTGGAAGTAGTATGATTTA